GTTTCACGAGCATTAGGATTTCCAGGCTGTTTTCAGCTAATATTAAAAAATTCACTATTCACTCAAAAAACATCTGAACGAGTTCAAAACTTCAGAATGTAGAGTATTTAAGCTATTCTATATCTTGTTTATAGGAGATCTCGAAGTAAATCTTAAAAAACCCTAAGATTTTCCAAAAAGGTTTCTTTTAAACCTATTAACAAAAATATGCTTTTCGATTTCTTCGATCTTACAGTCACGTTTAGCGGACAACATTAATCATATCCTGAGATTTTGAGCTTGTTCTGATGTTTTTTGAGTGAATAGTGAATTTTTTAATATTAGCTGAAAACAGCCTGGAAATCCTAATGCTCGTGAAACTGGCCCTTCGATAGACGTTTAAAACTTTTTCTAAAAACAAATATTGTCACGAGATTTATCATGGTCGATTATCCATAGTCCATCCGCCTTTAAGGCTACCAAGAGTCACAGAGTGTCAGTTCTGAGAGTCGTCGGAAGTCCGATAAAACGGCCGAATCGCAGAAAACCAAGGTCTCACTTTACTCCCATTTTGAAGAGAACACCCCGGGCTATCAACCCATGAAAAATAATCAATACATTCCTATGTGAATTTCGGAAAATTCAAGCTGGTTTTCCAAAGATCCTATGAAAAATCCGCTTAAGAAATTTTTCCGAAATTCGCTTTTGCTTACAGAAGTATGTGGTCAGATGTTTAATTTTCAAAACTGAAAACTGTTGGTCTCTGTCTCATTTCTGTGAAAAGTTATTCGAAAAATATCCGAGACCATCGTATTTTGAAACGCATAGTAGAATCATCAGCAGCGTAACAGAACAGCAAACGTCATATGCATGAGCGTATATATGCCATTTTCTTTTTTATTACGAACTCATTTCATTGAAGCTCGAAAGAAGCATCTAAGAAAGAAGAATGAAGCTGTGTAGATCTTTTCAGTCTTGGATTCATGATCCCGTCATGCATCTGAAGAATATTTAACGTTTGCCAAGAAAAAGGGAATTATCTGCAGTTTGATGTAACTTCGCTGGGTGATGTGTTACGCAATGTCTTGAGTAAACTGAAATAAACTGTGAGCGATTTGATCTTGCTGAAAGTGGGAAGTTATGGGATCTCGGAACTCCTACTAGTTGCAGTAAAATCTTTGATTCCAGCTGATTCTAAAGTAATTTGTATCGTATCTGTAAAATGACACTAGTACATGCACTCTAAGATTTTCCTTTACACGAGAGCATTTCAATCTCTTTCTATGCTATTTCCATACAGTTTGGGGTTGGATACGGTGATTGCCGAAAACGGCTGTCTATGGCAACCAAATCATTTTCGACCCATTCGACCTGGGTTATCGACTAAGCAAGAGAAATGAATTTGTGAAACTATTCGTAATGAGAGATATGCGTTATCCCTTATTCTCTGCGAATGGCATGCATAACCCTACAATGTTATTTTTTCAGGTGCTTTTTCTTCGCTCATCCGATCCCAAGAAAAAACCAGATTTAAACCAAATATGGACGACCATTTTGGAGTCTAGAGCTAAAGGTAAAAGCATTTCCATATTTCTCTCTTATAACTCAAATGCAATCAATTTTAAGGTTATCTCATGACTTGTCCGTGTTCAAATAAAAGATTTTCTGAACGAACATTTATTCGAATGGGTATGCATTAATTATACTAAGCAGATCAATTTAGCTTGTTTAGTATCGCCTATCTAAAAAAGGTCTGGAATCTGACCATGCGTATAGTATTCTGGATGCACGACAAGTCAAAGTTAATCAACGTCTTGTAAAATTAAGAAATCCATGGGGTGAGAAAGAATGGAAAGGAGATTGGAATGATAATTGTCCAGAGTGGCCGAAAACATCGAAAAAAAGATTAAACACATCATCAACTAATGATGGCGTATTCTGGATGCGTAAGTTAAGAAAAGTTTGCAATCATGTCGAAAGATAATGAAAGTTTTGTTTTGTTTCAGCTTGGGAGCAAATGCCATCATTCTTCAGTAGTGTGACCATTTGCAAAGTAAGAATTTTACCTTATATTTCTCAAATAACATTCTATTCTCACCTTTGATATTTAGATAAATGCTAATTGGCACGAGGTATACTTTTTTGTTCTATCAATTCAAACAGCTATGCCCAATGGTTTCCTACCTTTCTCTTAGGCTCGTAAACGAGGACAATTTTGTGATTTTTCATCGACGATAACATCGGTGTATAGTTTAGAAGTACCATACGGAGCCGAATTAGAAATTGAAGTGTTTAATTCCGGTGATGGGGACTATTACAGTCGTTTAAAAGATCCCGATGTAGACTTATTTTTGATATTACTTAACTCAAAAGGATATTGTAAAGGTTATAAACATGATGTTGACTATTACATAACATTATCAACACAAGTTTCATCAGGCAAATACACCATTATAGTTGGAAGTATGTCTGTTGTCAATTATCTTGTATGTCCATCATTTAATTTGGTTGTGCATGGAAGTCGACCATTTGATGTATACGATCAACCATCAACCAATGAAATTCTAGCTGATGCATTTCAAACTGTGGCATTGAAAACAACTAATCGACAAGATATGGGTGGTGGTGTATCAATTTTAACATTTGATGATAATGGGTAAAGTGTCAAAAAACAGAAAGTAGAGGCTATCAACTTATATTCTTTTTTCATTTTACAAGAAATTTTGGTCTCATGTGTGAGAATAAATCATCACAGACTGTTCGTTTGACTAGTGATTTTCAAGGATCAAAAAATGTTCTATCATCTCGTCATGCATTTCGAATGACAGATACCATTCAACCTCAAACACAACAAATTATTGTTATATTTACAAGAAAAATTTTTAGTAACGACGTTCATATAGGTAAACATCCATAAATTTAAAAATTTATTTTCTATGTTAGAAGTTTAAGTGTTTTCTTATCGTTTTAGCTTATCAGGTACGATTAAAACTTTTTTGTTTTTGATATGTACTGTACGCATTATAAATATATGTCTATGTTAGGCTTCTGGAGAATTATTGGATCCTGAAGAATATTCTTATTCAAAAAATTCACCGACTATACCTATCCAAGCATCGGGTAAAAATAGCACCATTTAACACTCAGTTTTTTAAATTAATCATTATTTCTCCCTTTTAGGTTTACATCGTTTGAGACAAGTACGTTGACAATCATAATTTACGATACATATTGTTTTGATGCAAAATATATCGTGCTGCGCTACGGTCTGTTGCATACTCAGTTAACCTTGAAAAATTATTACTGTTTGAGAAAATCGATCTATAATTCATCATCTTTGAGACTAATTAATAAATGAAAATATATCAGAGAAGACAATTTTGTTTTGTTTTTTTATTTTTGAACAATAAAATATATTCGCATTAATAACACACAATGAACGTTTTCTTCCTTATTTTGAATAGGATGTTTTCAGATTTTTGACATCCTAGATATTCATTTTTATGTTGATAATTATTTTATACGATTTTCATATGGTAAAGTCGCTAATTGATTAATCAGATAAATCGATCAACATAAGAAAAAATACGCCGCCAGATCTGTAATTTAAAAGTGTGAAAAGTACAAATCGAGACGAATGCATTTTTAAACAAGAGATGAATTATCAAATTTTTTTTATGCTTATTAAAAAAAAGTCAATTTGTAAATATTTTTATCTGTAAACATGTGATTTATACATACTCTGACCATTCTATCAATTCATTCAATGTACTCTTTTTCAGTGGAATATTTCAGCCTCAAAACAACCTTCATGTTGAGGTTTTCCTTTTTTCATTCTTTTTCTCTTTACTTTCCACCATATAACCTAAGTATTACTATTAATCATGAGAAATAATCTAGAAACATGTTCCCTGGTCATGTGTGATAAAAAAAGATAATAGACAGAACGATGAAATAAGTAGTAGTTGAAACGATGTCTTTGAATAGAAATCCTTTGGATCTTTAATTTAACCAATGCAACTTATATACCCCAATAACTTTTACGTCTCGTTTTATTTTAATGACACATTTGACGATGGTAAATGTCTGTGTCGATATAACACCGTAGACAAGTTTCACAAAATTGTGCGTTTACATAATTGTCTCGATATGAACGGAAATATTGATTTTTGACTAACTAATATCATCAATACAATTGTTTTGGACACAAAATAGAGAAAATATTGATTTGAAACTAAAACGAGATGATTTCCTTAATCCTGATTCGTCCACCTGGGATCCGTATGGATCCCAGACGAAAACGAGTGCTTTGAGGATATGTCTTGCTGCTCTGCTAGATAAATAAAGAGTGGATGCAATCAGTTCATATTGATAGTACACCCTATTGTCATTCAGTGGAATATAAAGTGAAGCGGTAAAATCTAACCGTTGTGTTCAGGTAGTACCCAGCTGAAACCGGTAGAATTTTGGCATATTATACCTGGTCAGGTCAGGGCTAAAGAACAGTAGAATCAATATCGCGAACTGAACTGTCAAAGCACAAAATAGGTTAAGCTAGTTCCAAAAATTCTATGCAAATTAAATCATTTTAAAATCGTCACTCTAACGATACAAATCTCTTGTTAGCTTCTCTAGCATCATTCTTATTGTGTGATTCATTATTCAAGAGTTCAATCGTTCAAATATAGAGATCATCGAAACAATTTTTAAATATTATTTATAAAAGATATAGATATTTTCTACTCTTTGGAACTAGGAATCAATTTGTGGATGTATCTGTTTATCATCCACCATGTCATACACAGTGTAACACAATAAAATTTTTAATGAGAAATCTTTCGTCCAACAATTTCAAATTAGAAATGGAAACCTTAAATAGCAGTGAAAATAACCATTGTTAATTGTAATACTGCTTGCATCAATAAAATAATTTAATTGTAACAATGTTAATTGATTTACAATATAACTTATTAGTTCTCAATCAAATCTTTTGTGGTCACTATTCGCTGAAACTTTTATTTAGACTAATTAACTATTGCACAAATTTGACACATTTTTTCCTGATTCATACTGTCAAAAACTAGATGTCAACTACTCTGTGAGCAGATTAGAAAGCCGAGCGAATAAAACGTCCTTTAGAGATATTTTAGACGCCATATGATTCACTCTTATTTTCCTTAATTCAATATTTTTAACATTTTTATTTATTGAAACAAATTTTTTGTTTTTCTATGCTATCTGAATTAGACGAATTGAACATACGAGTAGTGATAAGATACGCAGTTTCGCATATGAATTCAAGCCTCTGCTAGAGAAATAACTTCTTTTTTTTTTTCATTTTTTGTTAATAAAATTCGATCTTTTTAGTACTGACAAATGTTCATTTTGCAGATGAAACACAAATACGACAACATTTCTTCGTTAATTCGAAGCTACTGAATTATTTTCCATCTTTGATCAACAAGAAATATAACATCATTTCTGGTTTCAGACTAACTTAGTACGATGTTTCTAATTAATTTACATAATTATCTAGAGAAAAAACAGTGTGATAATTAAAAATAAATATTAAAAAAGGAACTTTAAAATGATATCAAAATAACATGAGAAATATAGATGTTTACTTTTTCACATAGTAGGAAAAAAAACCTAAAACACTTAAGATGTATGTTTAGTCAGTTTCATTGCTTGTTCTAACTCTTTCAAATTACTTTCTAACAAGAGAACTTCATCGTCTTTACCAGCCATTTTTGCTTGCCTTAGAAATTCTGTTACTTGATAAATTTGTTGTACGAGAGGCTCTAGTTCATTTGCTGTTTCCATTAGAGATCGATCGATTGTCGGTTTCCAACCAGCCACTTGTCTTCCATTCACTTCTATTTCACTTTTTCGATTAAGAACACTGTATGAAGCCATAGACAGAGATGGTGGAGTAGATACATGTGTTCGTTGATACAGATCTGTTTTAGCTTGACGTTCAAGTTCACTTTTTTCTTCAATGGCTTTTAATCGATCTTGACGACTTTTTTGAACATCTTCATCAGATGGTACACGTAACGTTGATATGGCATAGTTCTGAAGTAATTGCAAAGAAAATGAACGAATATTTCGACAAATTGTTTGATGACGAACAATGGAATGTTGATCATCAGTATCTGAATATGAATCAGATAAACTGAAAATAAGTTTACTAGAATAGACAAAATCAAAAATAAGATTTTAATAATAATCTAATGCAATGTTTTGTCTTTCACAAGTATGAAAGCAAAAGTAGTAGAATATTGCACTTCTTCTTCATTCTGTATGAGATTAATCAACAAAATCAGACAACTCCTATGAGAACTGAATGTTTACATCGGTAAAATCAAACATTACTTAAGCCTGAATCTTGAAAATGGTATTCGAAACTATATTCAAAACAATATCAGTTATTAACACAACTGATTGTACGCTGTCCAAGACATAGATCTTATACTAAAGTGATTCATTATTTAACTTACGATGTTGAATCGATTACTTCAAAACATGAACTTAGACGTCTATAAAGTCGTTGTGCATCAATAATTTGATGTGATGTTTCCCCATTACTGTAAATAAAGTATAGAAGAATGAATTTTGAATACATAAAGACTACAATGTACTCATTACTCACAGTAAAGATTCAACGATTGAAACATAGGTTGGATGAATTTGACGAAGTTCTTTCATCACATCTGTAATCCTCTAAATTGAAAATAACGAAAACGTATTGAAATGGCGTAAAGAAGAATCAAACACTTTACTACAACAACAAAAAAAAGAAAATAGTAGAAATAACATCTGAATTAGTATACTTCATATAGTTGAATGATTTCATCTTTTTCACTGTGCATAAATTTAATTTGTTGATGGCGTTTTTGAAGTGTATAACGACAAGCTAGACATATTCTTAGATAACTATCATCTCCAGTCGAAGATGGTCCTATACTGTCATCCATTGTTAAAGTTGACGTTAAACTCGTATAACTATTAGAACGACGAAACATTGCATTTCCATCTGACACTGTGGCTGATACTGTTGTTACACTATTTTTTGATATTGGTTCAATTAAATATCCTAAAAGTAATAAATAAAACATATTGTTAGCAATTTTTTATGAAAAAAAATTTGAATACAATCATTTTTAACCTGTTTATACAAAATTGTAAAGTAACTTTCTTATTTGATTTTTGATTTAATAATTCACATACTTGCTTTTAAAAATGGTAAAAATTCTGAGCAATTATTGCACATAACAAAACCACATAGTCGACAGTGATGTTTCCGTTTTGATATTCCAAATTGTTTTGCACATGATGGACATAATTTGACACTCGTATCATCTAACCATTCGACAACATCTTGTTCATATTCTAAAAACGATAGAAAATAGGCTAAAATGAGCTTTTTAGTGAGATTTGTATGAAATACAATCGAAGCTATAGTGAGAGATTAATATTGTCGTAACAGAAATTCGATTTCTAAGTATTAAGTAAGATTTGTCAGCAACAGGAAGGATAATCGATACATACTTTTTCGTTCCTTTTTATCCTTAGGTACACTGTCATTTGTTAATTGTTCTAATCTTAACAATAATTGTGTCATATCAATACTAGTTTTATCTAATTTTTCTTTACGAAATTTTCGAAATTTATCCATATGAGAACGATGATAACCTTGAAGAAAAAGCAGATAGCAGTGACAAAAACATGGAAAGGATTTAAGGAACAGAGGGACTACTGAGAGAAATTAAGACTTTTTTTAAAATAAAAATATCGCCAAAGAATCCCTTCAAGCTGGTGTTTCTTCTGCGCTTCATTCCTCAAGATTTTCTAAGACAGCGGAGCAAATTACCTCCAAGTTAAATATCCGGTACACAAGTAGCGGGACGACCCCAGACTAGCTAGACTCAACTAAGTTTCGGAATCTGTCGTAGAGTAGGCTCAGCTTCTTGAGACCCATTTCACGGTAAGTTTAAGCCTACTGAGTCTCATAGTCTTCCGAGTTAGAAGGATAGATACATACATGAAGTATTGATGAAAAGTATGCTGAATCTCAATCGTTCGTCAGTTTATACTTGCGCAGTTGGGAAATACTGCTAAAATGGGCAAGGTAATCTTAAGATTGATGTAGTTTGCCGTTTTTCTGGCCGTACAAGTCAAGATGAGGAGAGTAAGGTGGCGGAATGCGATGTTTAACACGCACTAAGTCTCCGTCTATGCTATCGCTTTGTTTTATGGGTTCATGCGCTGTCCTAGAAATATACAGATATCCAGCTGAAACGAACGAGACAACTTTTGTTAAAATAGGAGATAGTGCCTGACTAGGCCAAAAGTCATGCAAACGAACTCTTTGACATGAAATGGAAAATTCATTTAACGTTGATTGTTTTTTTGCCTACCTTACCCGTTTGTTGTGTACCGCTCTCTGATTGATATTGAGCATAAAGTCCAGCACTGGGTGTGGATGAATTCGAATTTCCCCCACTAAGAAAATTATCTTGGAATGCTGAGTTTGTCACAGAACTTATTTTTTGTTTAGCTAATGTTAATAATCCTAGAAATGACAAAAAACCAGCGATTCAAGTCCATCATAAGAATGCTGATTTGTCAATTACCTTTCACTGTTGTCGATTGCTGTTTCAAGTGTACTTCCTGGAAATGTACTTGTAACATATCCATTGTGGACATATCTTGGTGACACTGTGGACATATGAAACCCTCACGAACATCTGCCAGAGACATCATTTTTATCTAAAACAGAGAAAATAGATCAGTTTTCGGGCTTTTAACCTATAGTTAAAGTTACATGTCGCTGTGGACAACAAACTAAAATGTAAGTTTTCGTATACGATCAATATACTTCTGCTTAGTTTAACTATCAAGGCATGAACGAACGTGAATGTTATTCGTACTTGTTGAGCGATTTTCTATTGGTGAATAAAGATGCTAGATGTGTCTTATATAATTAATCTTACTCATGTGATGTGAGTATATGATAGTTTAGATAAAAAAAAAAAAGCATCGTGGACAGATAAGATACGACAAGAGTCGATGATTGGGACACATTGTCACAGTTGACGTAAAAGATCAAAAAGAGAGCCGACTGCTCTAAAAGGTAAACCTTGGCAGATGTTTAGGAAGTGACTGTAAGTCGCTCTTTCATTTGTTTTATTATTGGTAAGTGTCTGACTTTTTCAGATTGGTTCTTCTCTTAAAAATAGAAAAGGTATGTTAAATTATGAAAAGTAGTTTACCTTACTGTTTCCGCTCAATAGTTCGTTTTCTCTTACTGTTCTTGATGCTGTAAACAAACTTGCTTCTCGTATTATTTCTCGCAATTTTGACTATCGTTCTTCTAGTTTCCTACTTGTATCTCAACTTTCTCTTCCTAAACTCTCTCTTCGTCGTAAATACTTTAGACTTCTACAGTTTTTCAAAATTTATCATCGTCTAAGTCCTGTTTCTCTTTTTTATACTATTCATCTTTACGTCTTCATCACTCTAAATATGTTCGCATTCCATCTTCTGTTGATTGTTTTTCTCCGCAAACGGTGCATGCTTCTTTTTTTATTCAACTATTGCTGATTTGAATAATCTCCCAGAGTCAGTTATTTGTCTTTCTTCTTTAACGCCTTTCAAAACAGCTTTACTTCAGTATCTCTTCCAGTGAAACATGTCAGTTATGAATTTATATTTGTTCTTTTTTTTTGTTATTTCCTTTTAAAAAAAAACTTTTTTACTTTCTTTTTTACTACTTCTAGTTCTAACGTTAATTGTCTTGTTTATTCTGTTCTTTTTTTACTCTTTTGATGTTGCTTGGCTTGAGTCTTTGTTATTACAGGCCGGTGACCTTTCACGACTCACACTTTTCGTGAATAAAACAGTCTTAGTCTCTTAGTCTTAGTCAATTGTAGAATGCACTTAACATTGTAAGCCTGCCAGAACTAATGAACTCTCTTGTTAGCGGGAAGCGTGTAATTTACTCATCATTGAAAAATGACATTTGACTAACTGAAGGAAAAATGGTTAAAACAGTTTTAAACAAAAAAGCGGATTTGTTCACAGTGTTGGCTCTGTCGTCGAGCCAGAGTACGGTAGGCTAGAAACAAATGTCACTGAAAGTGAGCGTAAAAGTTTCTATGCGTTTTTTTCGTTGTTTTGGTTTTAGCTTTTTCATTCACATAGCAAAACAAATAAACTTAATAAAAATCAACGGATTAGAAAGCATGTATCTTAAGTAAATAATGAAATAGAACTCAAGAGCTTATATTCATGAGGCAAACACATTTACTTTTGAACTATTCGTCTTATTCACACGAAGAATGTATATCAATTACATATTGTTCATCTTGCATTAATATGTCAAAAAAACCCACATGAATTTCTTATGAAGATAGTCCATCTTCATTTATTATCGTTAACTACGAACTATTTTTCTAATTAAACACTGAAGTAAAACGGGTTGCAACTTTGACAAGCAAACGATAATGTTGGTAGATATATCTAGCGGAGTAAATCCTATTGCCGTCAACTTGTAGTATATCCATGTTTTATTTGCTTCTGATTAATTGGTACTTCGATATCAAATCAAAAAACATCAGCCGGTTGAAATGGGGATGCATTTGAATATAATACAGATGTAAGTTAGTAGATTTGTTTGACTAAAAATAACATTCTGAATATGTTCTTTGAAACCGTTATTCCAATTTCGCTTCGGACTATCATGCTTGTTAGTTGAGTTCACTGAAATAATCTAAAGGCCTAATCAAAATTCGGCTTCCTAGTTACCGTGTTGATCCAGTGAATATAACAGCCTTACAGTAATGAGATATAAATATAACAACCTCGCAGTAATGAGCAAAAAAAAGAATTTTAAAGCAAATAAACGAATATTCCAAAAGTTAGAAATTAATTAGCTATATTTGAATAGTTTTTATTATTATTAGTTTGAAAAAAAAAGAGACATGTTCACTTAATGGTCGAGAAATTTTAAAAGCTTCTTCACATGAAATCGACTGCAGACTCAGACCCTCCGTAGTCTATTACCTTGTGCGCAACAAATTTTGAATCAAAGTACTTCTGAAAAATTTTTCTCGGCTGTTTTGCCCAATCATTTTTCAAGAAATTCATAGAGAGACCTAAAAGTTAAACAGAATCATGAAAATTTTCAGAAGTATCCCGACCAGTGTTTTTAATGATTAGTGGGTCTCGCTTGAACAAAATGAGTTTCCACTTTGAAAATTCGATTTCCACTTTGTTTTTAGCAGGGAAAACATGGAAAATGCAGTGGTAAACTGTGGAAACCCACTTTGCTTAAAATTCCTATTAAAAACACTGATCCCGACTCAAAATTTGTTGTATATAAGATATTCGACTATGAGTAATCCAAATCTGTAATCAGTTACGAGTGAACAAGCTTTTAAAGTTTCTCAATCAAGTTGTTATACAACGGCTCTAGGTTTTCCTGTTGCTCTCACGCCAATTCAAATTGTGAATTTAAACATTTTTTCCGATTTTCTTCGAACTTGAATATGCAAAGGGATGAGAGAGGATAAAGAATGTTAAATTCACAGAAAGTTGATTTGCCAAGTGAACATTTAGTATAAACGATAATACCTAAGTTTCTTTTGACTTGTGCGTATGAAGTGAGCTGTTGAATTAGTTATCATTTTGTCCCATACAAGTCTAATTAGACTTTTAAAAAGTCTAAAAGTAGTTTCAATGTCAGGTTATCTTAGACTTTTAGATTTTTTACATTTATCAAACTTATAATGATGATTACCATGGAAGTCACTAGTGAAATTCGACTTTTGAACTACATTTCGATTCGAACGATTTGAATTCTGTTTTTAAATTGGTACTCTGAGTTTTCGAATTTCGTCTTTTACTGTTAACTAAGGTGGTGAAGTAGTGGTGTAAGAGTGAGTTACGACAGAATATTACACTGGTATTTGTTGTTGCCTGATGTACATGTCAGTTATCCATTTGATCTTGCAATGCGATTCCGGATAATTTGAGAACATAAATAGGGAGGGACTTTGGATTCTGGGCAGGCAAAAGAAGTGACTTAGATGCAGGTTTTGTAGGACACATGACTTCGAAAGTGCTTTTTGAGTTAAAAGGCGGTTGGTAAAACAAGATGACACTTCAAAGCGTGTGGTGGGAATTGTTTGGTTTTTTCTTCTGTTAATAGTCCAAAGAGCTCTCCTGGGAATGAGAGCCAAGACAAAAAGTTGACTTTCTACGCTATTTCCATCTGATATTAAAAAGTTCAGGGGTCACTCAAAATACGTTATACGTCATGAGGACATATGTTATAGGTGATTGTCCAAGACTCACATAGTTCTCTTCGTTGAGTGTGCCTATACGAACAAAACGACAGAAAAGCCAAAAGTCAAAATTCAAATCGTTCGAACCGAAATGTGGTTCAAAAGTCGATTACCACTATTGAGTTCGATGCTGTAACGTCTGATAAATGCGCAAATCTAAAAGTCTAATTAGATTTTTGACTTCTACACCATTCTTTTATCCTCGGTTACTTGTGAATCACTGTTGTTTTGTTCATTTTCTCGTTTCTCTTGAATTTTTAAGTCATTAGTTGAGAGAGAATGAATTCATTTCATTCATACTAACTGTTTGTTGTTATTTATTTTCTAGATAAATGTAGAAATTTTGTCTCTATTCTTTGCTAAATGGAAGATTTAGGTTGGTACTTTTACTAACAGTATTTTGTTATCTCTATCTGTTTTTTAAATAAATGTATATATTTAGATCAACTATTAGAAGATTTGCAGAGTGTTAGTCAACGTGCTCGAACAGCCTACAAACATGCTCCAGAACTAACCACACGCTTAGAACCAATGGTATTAAATCGAACGTTACCCACTCAAAATGTAGAATTAAATCAATTAAATTTAACACGACCAGATTCAACATTGATTGTAAGAGAGACGATTGAAATTGCTTATAATTTTACTCTCATATTTTGTTTTATATTAAAAGGAATCATCACCACTACGTCCATTACAACGTGTTTTATCGCCGCCACCACCTTCATCCTCTCAACCTACGCAGAAAAGTTTAAATGAATTAAACCAACTATTAGAAACATTAAATAATGTCAAACAAAATATTAAACAAGGTATGAAGATAATTCTAAAATTCTTCGACGAAAGAAGTATTTATGACTTTTGTATGTAGTTCTATTTGCAACATTACATTTTAGCTGTATCTCCATCCCGTTTAACATCAAATGATAAATCGACTTCGCTTGATTCAATACTTGCTTTATCGTCACAACAGCAACAATCAAATACGGTTCGTGGTGTATCCATCGATGATCTTATTGAAAGTATCGATATCCAATCAGAAATTAGTCCAACAACTAAGTAAGAAATTACTAATTTATTTGCTATTTCTAATATGGTACTGTTTAAATTTTTAGACAAAAACCTACGTCATCCAAACAAAAGAAATCAAAATCAACAGTGACAAAAGAATTAGAAGATTTAATGGCATCTCTAAGCGATTTTAAAATATCATCAACACTTAAAGAACAAACATCGCCCACACACGTAAGGCAAACGAAGAAGGAAATCATTGTATTTGATTGCACAGAAATATGTGAATTTTTTTTTCATTTTAGCTAATTTCTACATCTCAAACTCGATCTACTCATTCTCCCGATAGTGACCAAAAATCCACATCATCTTCACCATCAAAATCAAAATCTACAACGTCAACATCCATTCAATTACCCGTCACTCAGCTAAATGAGAAAAAGACTAAAAGTGATACTAATCTTGATCAATATCCAAAATGCCATGCTTGCAATCATTCAATCGTTGGACAAGTAAGATTATCCGTCTTGTCTGTGTCTTACTGTTTAAACATGTTTCTCCTTATTATTTAGCAAGTTTTGTGAGTAGAAACGGGGCTAGGTGGAGGATTTTACTTTTTTGCTACGAACTAACACATTTATAATGTTTTCTTAGATAAGAATTAGAAAAAGTTTTATCTATTTTTTTGCAGGTAATTACGGTTCTTGATCGCTATTATCATCCTGAACATTTACGTTGTACAGCGTGTAATTGTGAAATTGGCCGAAAAGATTTTTATGAAAAAAATTCTCGGCCTTATTGTGAAAATGATTATAGAAGATTATTTGCACCAAAATGTGCCGCATGTGATCAACCAATTATTAGTGTAAGTTGACAAGAATATTTGAAATTTTGATTACAAACTGTTTACAAACCAAACAGACGACACGTTATTCTTTCTTTAACCCTTTGTTTACCATTGCTCGATCGTGATAGCTAGAGGCTTCTAAATTTGTATGATCATTGTTCTCACTGAATGATGATCACCCACTAAGTTTAGGCTTCTTTTCCTAGATGATTCGTGAGATGTAAGCGTTTCATTTCTTTCTCGTAAAAGGCTAATAACTCCTCACCCAAGAGAAGTGAAAACTTTTACTTTTTACCAAACTGTAGCCTAGACTCTCTTCTATCTATGATATGAATTTGAAATGTTAGCTTTTAATAGTTAGTGAAATACAACTATTTTACGACTGAGGATCACTTTTGAAGTTTGAGCCCCTCTTCCAAAATAATTCATAACTCAGCCTAACAATATTATCACCACTTCAAAAATGCACCAGATACTCTAAAATGCTTTTAGATTATTCACACAAAGTATGAGGGCTAACTGTTGTATGGTTCGAGAAATTCATTGAAAATGGGCACCCGCTGTTGAAACATACATAGGAAGGCAAGGATGAGCAACCAAGAGTCGTCCATTCTATCATAACTTCTGTGGTTAATGTTCGTCATAATCATGTAAAAATATAATAATGAAACCCTTGGAGGAAAAATATTGTCAGAAAGACTTCACACTCACCCTAACCCTAAGTCATTTTATTTATTTTGCGTCTTTCTCACTTTCCATGTACTTCTAAGCAAAATTAAAAACATATTAGAGATCAGTAGACAAAACTGTATCGTCGCATCTTGATATCTTTTTGCGTTCGAGAGTTATTCAGAAATCAGGAAAATTAAAAAAAAAACTCCTGGATTCGGGACGCTGATAAACAAAGGGTTAAAGTATGATCATTTTTTTGTCTCTGTCTACATTTAAACTTGGTACTAGTGAAACATATGAATACTTATTTTAATATTTTAGGTGATGATAACAGCTTTAAATCGCAATTGGCATCCGGAACATTTTGTATGTGAATTATGTAAACGAAGAGTGGGTGATGATGGATATCATGAAAAAGATTCAAAAGCGTACTGTCGGTTAGTTTCTATCTAAACTGATATTTGTTCATTTTTAAAACAAAATTTTTATACAATTTTAGAGAATGTTATTTATCAAACTTTGTTCCAAAATGTTTGGGTTGTGATCAAGCCATTATTGATACTTATATACAAGCATTAGGTGGACATTGGCATAAACGTTGTTTTGTTTGTCAAGTATGTTAAGTGAAATAAAATGATGTGCTAGATTGAGATAATTAAAATTTTTCTACTGCTTTTGATTTTGAAAAAATAATAATTACATAAATTTACAAATTTTGTTGATTTCTGTTTTAGCAATGTGAACAACCATTTGTTAGTGGAACATTTTATGAACATGAAAATATTCCATTATGTGAGTTACATTATCATCAACGAAGAGGTTCATTGTGTTCAGCATGTCAAAAACCAATTGGGTACGTATAAGAGAGAAACGTAACTTTCTAGTACAATAACTTGTTTAGATATGTTTCTATAATAACTCAGGTGACAAGAGGCTCGCTTGAGCAAATTTTTTCCTGTGCTTTGCCTAGTACTTCGCCCACTTCCACAAAAATTTTCTACTCGATACGTCCTTTCGTTGCTAAGTTATGGGACTCAAAAGTTGAAAAAACTTAATTTTCTGATGACTCATCATCTGAAAACTGAATTTTTGATTATATAAAAAGATACAAAAAGAAAAGGAAACCAACGCATCCTGTAGAGAGTTGAATTGTGAATCTAACCATACGATTAGTGTTCAACTTTGTTTTCTTTTTTTTGTTATTCTTTAGATATAATCATTGTACAAGCATCTTTTTCGTTTTTTGTAGACCGACCTTCTCTTACAGTTTTTCCCAAAAGTCCGCCACTGAAGAAATTTTTGGAGTGGCTAAATTGTAGATCAGACGTCGGTCTACAACTCTGTTTAAAAAAAAGATCCAGTTTGTATGATTTGGTAGAGATAAAAACAGCTTTCATTCTTGCGGAAGGAAGCCAATTTCCGCTCTAAATGTAGAGTGACTTTTTGCAACTTGTTTTGCTCAGAACTAATGAAGCATGCGTTCGTTCTCGACGAAACTTCTACACTAGATAGAGCATCAAAAGTTGTACTAGCAAAAGTAATTTCAGATCGAATCCTCATTTTGTTCCTTACTATTTTTACATTATAGAGGAAAATGTAGACCGACTTTTGTTTTTAACTAAATGTAGACCAACCTTTTTTCGTGAGATTTTTGGTCAAAGCTAAAAGAAAACCATTAATACCGTACACTAGTCGACTCCTCAGACTGCGGCGAGTTTGACTACCTAATTTTTGGAGCTCTAAAATCTATAGTCTTTGCTAAAATAATGGATAATTCTGAGAGTAGAATTACATAACGGAATTCGGACTTTTTAGATTTTAACACTAAAGAATGAAAAAACTTTTCTGCCGTTTTTCGGCTTGACGCATTTGCTCACAGTCCTACTGTACTGCTCGAATCATTCTCTATCGAACGGTGTAGAATACATCTATTTCAATCCTTGTTCTAGCAAAATCCTGCCAAAAATTCTCTATGACAAAAACTGAAAATTGTCTCCCTCCTAACTCAGCCACTATGAGTCTGGCAGTTGGGAAATTTTTATAGAATACTCGGCAAAGACAGAGGAACAAAACGTACCATTCAAATTTTTTTAATGAACACTTTCATTTTTTTTATCGATTGTACCAGAAAGTTACGTTTCTCTCATAAACATATTTTTGTCACATTTTTTATCATCGAACTATCTTTTTATTCTTTTTATTTATAGTGGTCGTTGTATAACGGCTATGGGACGTAAATATCATCTTGAACATTTTATTTGTTCCTATTGTACTCGTCAATTAGCAAGTGGTACATTTAAAGAACATCAAGAAAAACCTTATTGTCATCCATGTTATATAAAATTATTTTCGTAGTCAGATCGTAGAACAGATCAAAAAACATACAATCTCATATTTATCATTTTTGCTTTACTAACCAGTGACTGTGCCTTTCTCATGGCTTCCACTTTTTGTATATTTTTGCTTCTTGTTTCTAGGCCGATAATAATCTCCCTCTCTAAGTAGTTTTTTTTAACAGAATCTTTTTGTTTTCTTTTTCGAAGACATTTTTTTTTCTGTTTGTAATTCGTCTGTTTTTTTGTTTTTTTTTTATATAAATTTTTATAAAAATCGCAATTCTATTGATATTTCTTTACTTTGCAAAATTAAGATATGAAATCTGACAGAAGTATCTTTGCTTGATCCTGATCAGTGTTTGAAGATAATTTTATGTTGCATATTGAATATTTTATAGATAGACATATTTACGATCAATTAGTTTAATATAATTCGTCATCATGCAGCCAATGATAATTATTCTAAAAGATGGTACAGATTCATCCCAAGGTAAATCGCAAGTGTTATCGAATATAAGTGCATGTCAAGCTGTAGCAGAAGCTGTAAGAACAACATTAGGACCAAGAGGAATGGATAAATTAATTGTGGACAATAGGGGTATGTTTTATTAGTGATAGAATTAATTATTTTATCATTAAAATTAGTTAATTATTTTATATAGGAAAAGCTACTATTTCGAATGATGGAGCAACAATATTGAAATTATTAGAAGTTGTACATCCAGCTGCTAGAACATTAGTTGATATCGCCAAATCACAAGATGCAGAAGTAAGTTACACCATCACTTGTACGAGTATAACACTTTTTTTTTTTGACGAAAAATACAAAACAATTTGTTAATGATCAATTGTAGTAGATTAATTGTTTACTTCTATTGTGTAGGTTGGTGATGGTACAACATCAGTGGTGTTATTGACAGGTGAAATTTTAAAAAATTGTCGACAATTCATCGACGATGGAATGCATCCAACAATAATTATTCGAGCTCTAAGAAAAGCGTCGGTAATTGCGAGTCAAAAAGTAAAAGAAATTGCCATAAGTGTTAAAAAAGATGATGTTAAGTATGTCTCTAATTTGTTTCTTTGTACATCTCAGTATTATATGAATATATGTTTGTATTTTGCAGAGAACAACGTGCTCTATTAGAAAAATGTGCCGCTACGACATTAAGTTCAAAATTAATTGCACGACAAAAAGAATTTTTTTCTAAAATGGTTGTAGATGCTGTACTCATATTAGATGAATTATTACCATTAAATATGATTGGAATTAAAAAAGTTACTGGTGGTTCACTTGAGGTGTGTATTGATCGACAGAGAATAATTCTTTTCATTTTATCTATTTTTTCTATGTATTTTTTTTTTAGGAATCTCGACTTGTTGCTGGTGTTGCATTTAAGAAAACATTTTCCTATGCTGGTTTTGAAATGCAACCGAAAAAATATCAAAAACCAAAAATAGCCATGCTAAATATTGAATTAGAATTGAAAGCGGAAAGAGATAATGCTGAAATACGTTTAGATAATGTTGATGTAAGTTAAAATGTGAGATAACAATGAATTAAACTACGACCGATAGTTTAATATAATAAATATAGAAGTTTCATGTCTTTATTCTTAGGAATATCAAAGAATAGTGGATGCTGAATGGACGATTTTATATTCAAAACTAGAAAAACTTCATCTAGCTGGCGTAAAAGTTGTCTTATCAAAATTACCCATTGGCGATGTGGCTACTCAATATTTTGCTGATCGGTATTAAACAACATGTTTTTTTTTTCACTTTCTACTACTTTGTTCATTACTCTATTGTTTGTTTTAGTGATATGTTTTGTGCTGGTCGTGTTCAAGAAGATGATTTAAAACGTACTCAGAAAGCCTGTGGTGGAGCGATAGTAACAACGGTTGAAAATTTAAATGAAAATGTATTCGGTTCGTGTCAAGAGTTTGAAGAACAACAAATCGGTGGAGAAAGGTAAATAACTTGAACTTTTTCTGATTTGTTCAATCATCTCTTCTGTTTGTTTTTTTTATGTAATTTAGATATAATTTTTTTACTGGTTGTCCAAAAGCTAAAACGGCTACGTTAATTTTACGAGGAGGTGCTGAACAATTTATTGACGAAGTTGAACGTTCATTACACGATGCTATTATGATTGTTCGACGAGCAGTTAAAAATGATAGTGTTGTGGCTGGAGGTGGAGCAATTGAAATGGCTCTATCACGTACACTTCGAGATTTTAGTAGAACAATTGCTGGCAAAGAACAATTGATTATTGCTGCATATGCTAAATCATTTGAAATTATACCACGACAATTATGTGAAAATGCTGGATTTGATGCAACAAATATTTTAAATAAATTAAGACAAAAACATGCTGAAAGTAAATATTAAAATAATTTAAATTTAATTTTTTCTCTTGTCTTTTCTTATTCTCTTATAGATGCTATATGGTTTGGTGTTGATATATCTCGTGAAGATGTTGTTGATAATTTTCAAGCAGCTGTTTGGGAACCAGCTGTTGTTAAAATAAATGCTATAACAGCGGCTAGCGAAGCAGCATGTCTCATTTTGTCCGTTGATGAAACAATTAAAGTGCCAAAATCTGTTGCTGAAACATCGAATGCCGCTAAACAAATGGGCATGGGTTAATCACACATTTTAGAAAAATTAGCAACATATCCCGTTATGTTATCAATTTTTGTTATCGTGTTTTTGTTTTTATAACAGTGTGTGTGTGTGTGTGTGTGTCTATGTATGTGTTTCGAAAAAATAAAGAACAAAGAATGTATTAGGTGAAACTCGAATGAACTTCGTACTTACTGTCCTTGTGTGGTCTCAAATTTTGTAGGATTTTTTTTTAATGCAAACTTTAAAAATAAAAAAAACTATAATATCATCTTTTTTATCATTTTTCTTGAACGGAAGTGAGCGTGTCTGACAGATGTAAAGAATTAGCGTTTGTTTGATACAGAAAGTGAAAGTACAACAAAGCTTAATGCATTAGAATTGCATGTTGAACTAACATACAACTCGTACATCTCTAAGATCGTCTGTTCAATATAACGCGATCGATAGTATGTGATATTGGTCTTTTAAAAGAAATGGGTTTCAATACTTCACGATTTAATGGCTATTAGAGGAAAAGCAGTAGAATTGCCTTTGTGTATGGTCGTGTTAACAGTTCGATTTGCTTCACACTATTCGTTTTTATTCTAGAATAATTGAATTAAAAAATGTTTTTAGTTAGCTATGAGCTGACTGGATATTAGTGCATAATTAATAATGTGACACTTTATGAAGAATTTGAGTATAGTTATTTGATTATGTCCTATGTTTATCATTGAATATCAATAAAAATTAAACAACGACTCTGATTTTCTAAATGATTCCATTAATCGATAGATAATAATTTATTATTATAACCAATGTCAAAAAGATTAGATTATGCATATATAGTTCTCAAATCGGATCAATAATGTTTGTCTATTTTGTAGAAATTGTTTAAGTTTCAAACATTTATAATTTGATTTTAGTTCGGAATCTTTGCCTCTATTAGTCAGAAAATATAACAATTCATATGAAAACTTTTTTCTTACGCTAACGAGAGGATCTCACGAACTGTCACATTGCTTTTTGAGCCAAACCTAGTGGATTATAGGTTATCAACTATGCTGAACCCGAATATCATAGTGGTAGCTGCCCAGGAGCCTTCAGAGAGTGGTTTTCTAGATAACCAGTTTTTCAGAAACTCTAGAAAGTAACCCAAATCTTTCTTAATGAGGCATAATTGTAGCCCGCAAATTTTTGATTAAAATGAGGCATCTCCCAGCTCTACATGGCGTTTCTTTGCAAAGCTATAGGATTTGCAACAAAAGCCCTAAATGTTCATTGTCAGTTCAAAGCTACAGAAATAAGAAGGAAAAAGTTAATTTCGGGCTTTTCTTGTAAATTGTATAACTTTGCAAAGAAATGTCGTACAGAGCTAAGAGATGTCTCATTTTAATCAAAAATTTGTGGATTACAATTATGCCTCATTAAGAAAGATTTGAGTTACTTTTTAGAGTTTCTGAAAACCTGGTTATCTAGAAAACCACTCTCTGAAGGCTCCTGGGCAGCTACCACTATGATATTCGGGTTCGGCATAGTTGATAACCTATAATCCACTAGGTTTGGCTCAAAAACCAATGTGACAGTTCACGAGATCCTCTCGTTAGCGTAAGAAAAAGTTTTCATATGAATTGTTATATTTTCTGACTAATAGAGGAAAAGATTCTGGACTAAAATCAAATTATAAATGTTTGTGACAGTTTGCGAGATCCTCTCGTAAGTTATGTTGTATAACTTTTGAGAGTTTGTGTCAGTTTATTCACTAAAATTATTTTTTATTTCTCTATGTTAGATTATCAGTACTATCATGCCATCGTTGATGTAAAACTTAGCTGTTGTTGATAATGATTCAATGTTTTGATCCATTTTCTCTATGAAGAAGCATTTAACATGATAATATGGAATTATGTATCAAAAACAGAAGTTTTAAACATCTATCTATGATATAGTTAAAATTGAGATGTTAATGTTTGTCATGTTATAAATATGCCGTATATTTTTGAATGATTTATTCTGTAGTGAAAACATTAATTGGTACCACTCCTGTATGTCAAGAATTTTGTGCTGCAATAGCTCGAGTATTATGGAAATTAAGAGAAAATTTAATGAATTCAAATGAAGTAAAATATCTCATTTCGATGAGAGTACGAGAAACAACAAGGCTTGAACAAAATAGTTATGTGATTATTCTTAATGTTAATGATGATACTAAAGACATGTGTTAGTCGGTAAGTGAATAAAAAAGCTCTTGTAATATTATATACCAATATTTTCTAAGAAAGATAGGCTCTCAGCTTTGTATCTTTCTTTAATGCGGACTAGATAGAGTAGATCATTTTAGTGAAAAAGTAGAGCAACGAACACTGGTTACTTCAATACATCATGTCTGATATACTACTAGGCACCGAGTAATTGACTAGGGATTTTATATTTTTTGAAAAATCTAGTGTTTCGTATATGCTTGGTTAAAAATTCGTATTTCGTATTGCTTGGTTAAAAATTTTCTCACTTGGCAAGAATGTAGAGCAAACATTTTTGTATAAAAATGAGAGATCAGATTGCTTTGCATGATTTGTTTTGAGATTTTGGCAACGATGCCTCAAGAACATATAAGCGAGTAGTAAATGCGTATCGAGTACTCAGTTAGTCCCTTATGGGAACTAAAATCTCAAAACAAATCATGCAGAGCAATCTGATCTCTCATTTTATAGAGAAATGTTTGCTCTACTTTCTTGCCGAGTCAGAAAATTTTTAACCAGGCAATAACGAAACACCAGATTTTTCAAAAAATATAAAATCCCTAGTCAATTACTCGGTGCATGCCTATATACTATCCTAGGCGATCGAACTTACGTCAGTTCTATAGAGATCTTATAAGAATCTTATATAAGGCAGTCGATGGAAATGCGTAGAATTTTTGTGTAAAGGAATATTAGAATCTTATAAGATTCTGATAAAAATTCGGTAAGGCAGATTATATAATTAGGTTAGAAGAATTCATAAGATTTTGATAAGTTAACATACGAACTTTTATTTATATCAGTTAAAGTGTCTGACTGTATGAAAACTAATAAGTAACCCTGCATCATGTGAGTTCCTACGAAACACAGTAAATCGTTTTAGGATCATATGAAATCCTACGTAATCTTATCACAGGAATTCATGTGATTTCTATTGTAGGATCCTCTGTAAAAAAAACGTTTGTGAACGAAATTTAAAAGGGTATAGAAGAGTGCAACCATTTCTAGATCTTTTTAGGTTTCGTAGAAGAAAAGGTACGGTACGAAACCACTTAAGCCCATAAATTCTAGCAGTTTTTTTTCTGAACAAGTGGACCATATTAGCAGCTAAGGTGTGCTTTCATAGTATAGGGCGGCGAAAATTGAGCCAAAAAAAATACCTGAAGCTTTTGTAATTTTTGATTTTTCGCAAGAAAATCATGAGGAAAAAACATAACGAAATAAGTAAATGCACACTGATCAATGGTTTCAATGCACTTAAAACGGTTTCGTACCGTATCTTTTCTTCTACGAGACCTAAAAAGGTTTAGTAATGGTTGCACTTCTCTATATCCTTAGAGGGTAGAGCGGTACTTTTTACAGGATTCTACTATCTGGCTCTTACATTAGCTTACACCAGGAAACCTATCAACTGCTGTGAATTCATATATAGAATTAGCTAGGATTTTGTCAGATTCAGAGATCTGGTTGGTATTTTACTAGTAGCAACTCATTAAAATGTTTTTCAACGATGCATTCTCTATTGCGATCAATCAAGAAACTCGTTTGTTTGACCACTCACTATTGGATGATGAGTCATGTACGTAACTGTACACGGCCATTCCACGCGTACCAGCCAAAAAACGTAAGTCCGTTACGTTTTGTGAAAGTCATAGCTCTTCAGCCGAGCAACATACACAGTTGGGGAACGCCTTATTTTGTAGCTTAAAGATTTTTTCTTTCAAATGGTAATTAAGCAAAGTCTAGCTCTACCCTAAGGACCTGCTCCTAATTCGTGCCAAAAAAAGCCACTTTGTACTAAAGTGGCGTGTAGCTAAAACATTATGTTACTTAAACTAATCGATTGGTAGACTTTGCTTAATTACCATTTGAAAAAAAAATCTTTAAGCTACAAAATAAGATGTTTCCCAATCCTGTACGTTGCTCGGCTGAAGAGTTATCTATCTCACAAAACGTCACGGACTTACGTAAAAGTGGACTTTTACGTGGAATGGCCGTACAGAAGGTTCTTTTGTGACTCCTTCTAATGCTTTATTAAGACAGGTATAAAAGCATAATTTTAATCATTTTATTTTTCAGACTACATTCTCTTCCTATAGTCATGATAGATTTGGAGAAGTAAATCCAATCTATAGACAGTAGAAGTAGACAGACAATGAAGGTGTGTCTTTAGACTACCCATTTGGGACTACGGTCTTATTACAGAAAAATAAAATAAATAGGAAGAGAATTATTTTATTCACGTATGAAACAGTAGATTATAGTAAGAAAGTAGAATATAGGATACTGCTTACTAAAAAATGTGATGAAAGTGTGTTATATATTCTATAGTATCAACTTTCGGATTGGATATAAGTGGCTGACCGGAAATCTGAACATTATATACGTTCAAAACAGTTGATTTACAAATATCTTATATAAGAATCGTAATTCTTATATAGTTCTTCCCAGTTTCTTATATAAAATTCTTATCAATATTCTACGCATATCTACCGATTCAGAATATATATTCAAAAATTCATAAGATTCCTATAGTGATCCTATATAAGATTTAATCTCTATAGTAATGATTTAATTAGGATAGTTTTTTGATCTAAAAAAAAATTATCTCTTTGCTTCAAGCTTGCTTCAGGTATATTGTTTTCTGTTTCGTTTTAGTCGTCTTATTCGCATGGTTATTATTGTATGTGAGTGTGTGTGTGTCGTATATGTATGTGTGAATGTGTTTGTGTATGTGTATGTGCAATAATAGATGAGAAAATAAAGAACATATGTTATTGTAATGTTTATCAATTTTTTTTT